AGGCCATCCTTTTGGTAATAAAGAGGGCAAAGGAATTCCAGATTGCAGAGGGCCCATAGGTTGAATAACCTTGTTGATGGCCCTGAGATCTGTCACCATTCTCCATTTACCTGATTTTTTCTTAACCACAAATACAGGAGAATTCCAAGGGCTGGTAGATTCTTCTATATGTCCAGCATCTAATTGTTCTTGTACCAGCAGTTCTAAAGCCTGTAACTTTTCCTCAGCTAAAGGCCATTGCTTTGTCCATATTGGTTTCTCAGTCAACCATTTTAGAGGCAAGGCTGTTGGTATCTCTGAAGGGACATCAATTGCTTGTTCTTGTACAGCCCGAATGGCCAGTTTTCTCCATTTGTAATATCTTTTAATATTATTCTCAGAAATATAGGCTCTAGAATTAGCAGGAATGTTAATTTCGGTATTCCATTGTTGTAATAGGTCACGACCCCATAAATCCATTGCAATATTGGCTACATATGGCCTTAATTTTCCTATTTGTCCCTCTGGCCCTATACATTCAACCCATCTTGTGCTCTGCCTTACTCGAGATAGGGTTCCAATTCCCAGGAGCTGAACATTTACATTCTGAAGAGGCCAATACGGATGCCAAGATTCTGGGGTAATGATACTTACATCAGCACCTGTGTCCAGCAGGCCAGTAATAAAAATGCCATTTACACACACTCTCAGTTTAGGTCTTTGATCATTTATAGAAGTTTGCCAAAACACACGTAACTTATCTTTCTGATCATTATTGCTTGTAACAGTAGGCATGGGGCTTCCTAATTGTCCTGATGAGGCACGTTCTCTGCAGAAACTGGAAATGACTGAACCATGTTTGCCATGGGGGCCTGTGAGGACCCCCCTCTCACGTTTCCCGTCTGTATCGGGTTGCCTTGTCTATCTCTTGTAGACCTGCATTCATTTGTCCAATGTCTGCCTTTTCCACATCTTCTACATAAACCTGAAGGCTGAGTCCTCCTATTCCTGTTATTTCTAGAAGATGCATTATTATTATTATTATTTCTGAAAGATGCATTATTATTATTATTTCTGAAAATCCGTTGTCTAAAATTCCTTTTCATATGACCCATTTTGCCACAATTAAAACATTTGGTATTCTGGTGTCTCCTTTTACCATTGGAAATTGCTTCTTCTACCCATGCTTCAGTGCCATAATCAAATGTATCAACATTGAGTGTATGCAAGACCCATTCTTCCAAGGGCACTGATCTGAGCTTTAAAGGGCCCAAAATCCTTTTGCATTCCACATTTGCATTTTCATAAGCCAAAGACTCAATCATTATACGTCTTGCTTCTGGGTCAGATATCCCTATTTGTACAGCCTTAGTTAATCTTTGTAAAAAGTCACTAAAGGGTTCTCTCTGACCCTGTTTAACTCTGACAAATGATTCCATTCTCTGTCCTGGGTCTTGTACCCTGTCCCAAGCCTTTAAGGCTGCTGTAGTACACACGGAGAGTGTGTTTTCATCCAAATTAGCTTGTTCCTGAGGGTCGGAAAAGAGCCCTTCACCTAGAATTTTATCTAGGGAAATATCAATTCCCTTCGCTTTTTCCTGCTGTTCTAAGAGTCTAGCCTCTTACCTGAATAAGCATTTCCATTTCAATTGCGGTCCACTCTCAAATACCGCAGAGCTCAGCTGGAGCCAGTCCGAGGGGTTGCTCTGCTTGTTGTGGCCCAAGTTCTTAGCATCTCTTTAACAAAAGAGGCTTGCATCCCAAAAGTCATGACAGCCTGTTTTATTTCCTTGAGATCATTCATACGGACAGGCTCCCATGTATCCTCCTTGATGACCCTAGGGTTTTTGGAACCAATCACCTTCTCTGTTGTTATTACTGGAAAGGCAGGTAGAGCTGTAGGTAGAGCTTTGTGGAAATTGTCCCTGAGAGATTTACCCACAGATGTAGTTAAAATTTGCCTTTCTACCCTTTGCTCTTCTTCATCAGAATTTAGAAATTCCTCAATCTTTTCAATTCTATTCACCATTGCCTTCTGCAATGTCTGAATCTCCTGTCCAGAATTATGTTCCAAAGCCTTCATTGAGGATTCTAAAGTATGAAGTTTGTCCGTTAGAGATAACATCTCATCTTTGGACATAATTTTTATGGCATAAACCGTGCCTTCTTGTATTGACAATCTTTCCGTCAATCTGTCATAAGCTTTAGACAAAATCCGATTGTCACATTCAGCAGTTTTGATTCTCTCAGTTAATGTTTCATTTCCTACAGAAAGGGACTGAAGCTTACGATCCAAATCAGCTGTTCCCTCTTCCATAGTAATGAATTTCTCCTTAACATCAGCCTGAAGAACTTCAAACTGATTCTTGAGAAGATTGTTGTCATTCTCAATTGTTTTTAAGCGTCAATCTCTGCCTTAAGAATCCTGCATTCGTCTCGTAAAGACTTTATCATATTTCTATTATCAAACCATTTAGTGCCAATGAAAACTATGAATCCCAGAAGGATCCATAGATGTGGGGTGATAGACACCTCTTGTAAAATCTCCCACATGGTACAATTAAAAAAAAACTGTTAAATTCTTGAACAGTAATGTGTTCAGACATTTTATTTATAAAAGAAAATTTTTTTCCTGCAATGATCGGTTCCTGCCAGTGGTGGTCTCTGTGTTTTTGGAGCCTGTCCTAGAACTAGCTCTTGTAGACCAGGCCGGCCTCAAACTCACAGAGATCCGCCTGCCTCTGCTTCCCAAGTGCTGGGATTAAATGCACGCGCTGCCACCGCCTGGCTGGCCTTGAACTCACAGAGATCCGCCTGCCTCTGCCTCCCAAGTGCTGGTATCAAAGGCATGCGCCACCACCACCCGGCCAAGTCACTTTGTATCAGACCAAATCTGCCGCTGTGGAAGCTTTTGTTGCAAAACCGCAGGTACTTGAGTTTCTGCTAATTCAGGCAGTGGGGTTCCGCTCCAAACTTAGCCAAGGCAGGCAGGGAGGGGTTAATTGCTCTGGCGAGCAGGCGGGGCAGAATGGGCCTGTGTGGCCGAGTATGTCTCGGACTCGTCACTGGGGCCCGAGTCATGAACTAAAAAACAGCACACAAGAGGGTGCTGTGTTAGCTAGCGGGCTACCGGCTTGAGTCGGGGGCAAAATAGCCCGATGTTGGATGACAAAATGTAACGGCGTAAACGAATGCAGACAGATTGTAAAAATATATATACAGCTTTAATGTAGAAATAGACTTACAGAACCACCGTTCCTGCGGAGACCAGGAAAGCAGAAGGGACGGCTGGGAGCACAGTCGCCAAATTTATAGGCAAACATTAGCTCGAGGCGAACACGCCCCCCAAGGGGCGGGACTTATCCCTACAGGCTAATGTTCGTTCCTTGTCCCCGCTGTTCCTTGTCTTGGGTTCCTCCCTGACTGCTCCGCTCTGGTCTTTCTAAAGTCCCACTTCAGCCCTTTCCCCCCATGGTCTACAGCAAACAATAAGCCAGAACTTCCAACACTTCTAAAATTATACCGTGTGGAACTGGGGGAATGGTTTGGTTGGTAAAATGCCTGCCATGGCAAACATGAGCACTGAGTTCACATCCCCAGCTCACATGCTGAAATGGGGCCTGGCAGAGCCCATCCACAAGTGAAGTACTGGGAGACAGAGTTAGGTGGATCTCTCAAGATCGCTGGCTAGCCAGCTTAACTGTATCAGTGAGAGATTCTCAGAAAAATGAAATGGAGAGTGATCAATTAAGACACCTGGCATCAGCTCTGGCACACACACACACATGCACAAACACATGCATACACATATATACACAAAATAAATGTATTATAAAATACAGTATATAGACAACATAGAATGCATTGACAAGTCAGTGCCTCTCTGAAAGAGCATCAAGAATTCAGTCCATTTATATAAATTTAGAAATTATTTTGTGAGCCTAGATCCATATATCAGGTACATTTTACCATGTTTTCCCTCTATGTTGCTTTCATTAAAGTACAACATAAAGCCTCATTTGCCATAGATGTAAAGTAGCAAAGAGAAAACAGAACAGACTTTGTTTTTTGAATTAGAAACACATCTTTTCTTTGAAGTTCTTTTATTTATGTACTACTCAATAGCTATAAACCTAAGCCTCTTATTAAAATTTCCATTTGCACCCAGAGAGCCACAGAGAACAAGCTTGTGTGCTATTCAGCCTTTATAGGCATCAAGAGATGAATAACGTCGTAAATATATCTTGGGTTTGCCAGTCACAGAGCGTCTGTCCCTACAGATGTGATGTAGAGATGATGGTAGATAATCTACCCCTCCTGCTCATTCATGCATCTAGTGGTCTCCATGACAACGCCTGCCCTTCCCAGCTCGCCACGAACTCCAAACGGGTACATTCAGTATAATATTAACAACTATGCACAAATGTGTATTAACAGCGTAATAGCAATGACTGTCTACAGTCTTGATATTTTCTTACATAAAGTGCAGCTTAGACTAGACACACAGATGGGGCTGTGCTAGCGCTGGAAACACGGTCGAGTGACAGATCACAATCTTAACCGGCATAAGGCCTTGGGCTCCATCCTCACACGGAAAACGTGCAACATTTATTTCCCAGTCTCCCCTGTTCTTGGTAGCAAAACATCTGGGATGTTCAGCTAGGATGTTCAGCTGAGGAACCCAGTGGAAGTGTACGAAGCCGTGTGCTGGTTCCCTGTTATCAGTCTTGGTCTTATCTGATTGTGTGCATTCGACTTGTCAACCTTGAGGCTTGAACACAGCCTAGAGCTACTCTCTGGCCTGTGGAGGATCTGCGTTTCTCTCCACGGTCTGATCACCTTCCATTCTAGTGGGGAAAGAGTTTAAAGGGGGCTCCTGATAATCCTCTCCCTGTCATTCTGACCATTTATTCCTCGGTAATGAGGGCAGGAAATGTTGCTATTAATGTCGTCTGGCGGAGTTTACTTTCCAACAAACTTAGTTTCTCTTCTTTCCTACTGCTGACTCGGTGCTCCGACAGTTTCAAAGAAAGCATGGAGAAGTCGTCTTACTCCGACTGGCTGATAAACAACAGCATCGCCGAGCTGGTTGCTTCGACAGGCCTTCCTGTGAACGTCAGCGACGCGTACCAGGACCCGCGCTTTGACGCTGAGGTAAGAGGAGTCCTCTGTTGGAGGCTTGTCACAGTGCTGATGCTTTTTCTGGTTGAGGTGGGGAAGGGATGTCATGCAGAGCTGCAGTAACCAAGACAACAGACACTTCTGCAGGCCTGTGTTCTGGTTCCCAGTGTTACCCACTGTAGACCGACTGCTGTTTGGGTCTGCCCAGACTTGTGGACAGGTGTCTTCAGTTTCCTTGTGAGGAAGAGTACCCCAGTACCTGGGTTGTGTTGTAGAATATTATTTTAAGATATGCTACATGTGTTGATGCCGTGGGACATTTGCTTTAAGGATGCAAAGATGTGTTATTTTCTTTTATGTTGGCTTCGTTTATAACATGGTAAAGCTGTGTTACTGCGCCTGTCTGAAACACCCGATTGGTCTAAGAAAGAGCTGGATGGCCAATATCTAGCTAGGAGAGAGGATAGGCTGGGCTGGAGCCAGAAACTAAAAATAGAAGGAGACAAAGAGAAGAAGGAGCAAGAAAAGAAGGGGCAGCCACCCAGCCATACAGCCAGCCACAGAGTAAGAGTAAAAGTAAGATAACAGAAGAAAAGGGAAAAACCCAGAGGCAAAGGGTAGATGGGATAATTTAAGTTAAGAAACAAGCCAAGCTAAGAGCGGGCATTTATAAGAAAGAACAAGTCACCCCAAAGAGCAAAGAGTCAAAGAGTAAAAATGGCCACCTGCCGCGGTGAAAATGTCATAAGGACGTCAATATCTGCACACTGTCGCACTGTGCTTGGACGTCGGTATCCACACTGCCTCACTCTGCTTGGAGCAGAGATTGCTGTATATAAGTCTCTTGCTGCTTCTCCCATCCTTAAGCTGAGAAAAAGGGAATGCTAAAGAAAAAATTACTGTGCATACAATTTTATGAAGAAAATCTCTCAGGAGTCTAGATTATCACTAATAATAAATGAATAACCCAAGCAGTGTGGTTATGCAGAAAATCGTAATTACCAGTTGTTAGGAAGTCACCATGTTTAATTAGCTGTGGGAGAGATAAGCGTTCCCTGACCTAGACCATAGCACTAAATTGGGTGTGAGTTGTTGCCGTTCTGCTCTTAGCTGTGCGCCATGGAGAAGGTCAGATTCTGGACAAAAAGAAAAACAACAAATTAAACTGTTACCTTTCCCCCTAGGTCCACAGACTTCCTGTAAAAGAGTAGGAGAACACCCATATGCCTACCGCCAGATTTAGAAAAGATCAGTACGTTTGAGTCTTTGTATCGATTTTCCCTGATCCCAGCTCCTGACTCAGCACTCCTGTGGGTTACCAGTATTCAGCATTTGAATTTGGCATTTCTTTGCTGTCCTGTATGGCATCGTCACACACATTAGAAATCTACCAACTCGGTTTTGTATTTTTATCTCTCTGAACTTCAAACTGACTAATGTATTCACCTGTGGCTTTTCCCCTCAACATCATATGGCGAATGCTGCCAAGAATGAGCATTGCATTGGAAAAGTGAGCCGTGTTTTGTCTATCCAGTAGGTTTCTCATAGACCTTTGAGTTCAGTGTTTTGCTGATAAATCAGTAATATTGAATAATAATTTTTTAAAAAAATAAATATAAACGATGGCATGACTGTTCCTAGGAATGGAGGAGGAGGAGATTCAGTGTAGAGATGAAGGAGAACACAAAAAGGGGTGGAGACAGAGACATCTGGAGCATCCAGAGTGAGCCAAGCCACGTGAGGAGGGAGGGGAAGAGAGAGTGAAGAGGAGCTACTGACAAACAGGGGGCAGGCTGGGCCAAGAGAGCAAAAGGGGTAAAAAAAGGACTGGCCAAAATGGCTGGATTATACAAGGAAGAACCAAGGGGGGGGGGGGGGGGGTGCGGACAACCCAGCCCTGGGCTAGAGAGTTCAGGGTAGGGGGTAGGGTATGCCAGCCAGGAGAACTCTGTGTCAGGTAGAGACTGAGGGATGTTTGGAGAACCTAACAGAGAACTTGACAGCCAGTGTTAGCTCTGATATGTTCACAAACACCTCACTAGTCGTTTGTCTGGGGTTTGAGACATATCTATGTGACTTTTCTTTTAAATTAAAAAAAAAGTTTTCAGATTTACTTGTTTAAGGTATATGAGTGTTTTGCTTGTGTTTGTGTGTATGAGAAAGAGATGGGGAGACCCTTGTACAGACCTGGAACCTGAGGAGGTCAGAAGAAGACATAGGACACCCTGGAACTAGTTTTATTGATTCTTTCAATAAAAAATAATTCACCCCATCAAACTTTGCCTGGCTTATCAAGCGTAAAGGCCAGTCAGCTCTCTCATTTACGGTCATCCCTAGTGTACAGTGACTTCTGAGAGGTTCTGAGAATCTCAGCCCAAGCAGATGCAGGAAGAGGACGGTTTTGTAACTGTTGCTTTTCCTTCTGATGGAAGTAGCTACAAAGGGCGACTCTGAGGGGAGGCGATCCTCACTCCCGGGTGCTGTAGGTGCCTGCTGATAGGGTTGTGGGGCAGGTGCCTGCTGATAGGGTTGTGGGGCAAGTCGGCTCAGCTCAACCATCTCCTGCTGGGCATTCTCTTGGTAATCTTAAATAGTTAATGGAGGTTCCTCCTTGTGGAGAACTAGCAGGTGAGCCATAGTGCTTATCTGCCATCTGTATGACCAGAGTCTCTCACCAGTGCTGCCTGTTGGTCCTAAAAGCACACGGGTGCTTAAGGCCAAATTTATTGGAAGCCGTGCCAGAATGCCATATTAAGTCGTTATGAAGCTGAAAAATGAGCTTTGAATTTGCCATTTGCGGTGATCATTATAGTTTTTTTCTTCCCTTTGTTTCAAGGACTCTATGATCCTTGAAAACACCTGAAAAAAATGTTAATATACGTGACTTTATTTGCTTAGAGTAGTATAAAAACACTTGTGTTGATCGGTTTTTGGGGTAGGCTTCGTATTTTATCAGCCATTATGTATCTTCTCTTAAGGGAAGTGGTGCCTACATTTGCTGCTAAAAACGTTGACAGGGATGCTGTTATGGGTAGCCCACTGGGGATGAACACTCAGACACAGCTTATAGACAATTGAAAGTCTTTATTCCAGCTGACTGGGATTACACTCAATTATTTGGGGACTTAGATGCAGCCTTGAATGTCCAGAGCGCAGGAATTTTGAGGGCAGAAAAACCCTGACACTTTGCTCAGCAGCTGCAGAGAGGATTCACAGAAGTAAGTAAACAAGCAGTTTAACAGAAGCCAAGATAAGTGGTTAGCTGAGGGGTTTTCCTCACCAACAGGCAGAAGCTAAGATACATTAGCTATGATATCCTGTAGTTTTCCATGGACTTCTCCATCAAGGAGATCAAATTCTAGTTAAACTTGACATGGCCTCATCAAGAATATAAGATTGAGGAAGCATTTTACCCTGTCACAATTGATTTTCTGCTGCTGTATAAAGAATCACCTTGGCTCAGTAACTAAGAACTCCCACTTCCCATAATTCAACTCCTGATGACCTGGGAACGGCACCTCTGGGCTCTCTGTTCAGGGTCTCCCAAGGCTGAAGTTAAGGTGCTAGCCAGATGGCATTGGCATTAGCATGCTGACCAGATTGTTGGCAGAATGGAGTTCCTTGCCTGTTGAGTAAATCTCTCCCTTCATCTACTGGTGGTGGTCAGGGATGTCCATGGGCTCTGAGGGGTGGCCCTCCAGTCTTGAAGGTGGCCCTCTCAGCTCACTCCCCAAAGGAAGTACTCACTCCAAACAGCTGAAACAGAAGCTAAGATGATGTCAAGAAAAACACACAACCTCAACATGATTGTCCCATTGGTTTTGTTAAGGAAGCAACTGTCATATTCATGGACCTCTCCTCGTTCAAGGGGAAAGAGATAGACAGAATCTTCACAGAGTTGGGAAGGAGGTGGTATCAGGCAAGTATTTTAAAGACTACATAAAATGAATCTATACAAAATTCCCCTGTCCCATAAAGCAACTTATTTGTCCTGGCAAGAAAAAATATCCATAAGAAATAAATGCAAAACACGAAGAAGTTCTTATAGAATTATATTTGCAAGAGTATCTTGAGATATACACATTGTTCTCTAATAAACACCTCAGATGTAGCATATACAAAGCTTTCAATCTTCTTCCCCTATACCGGTGTCTCTCTGTCTCTACGAAGGTAATCCAGTTCTTCCTAATGCTTACGTGAGGGATTTCACAGGCACGAAGCTGCCTTTCACTCCTGCTGGACAACTGGTTCAGAAGAGGGCTGCCTGGTCCCTTCTCACCACTTAGCTGTCACTCATTCAGAATGGCAGTCCAAGCTACCATCATCTCCAGGAGATTTCATAACCCTGGCCTCCTGCTCTGACTCAGCTTCCGTCTGCCCTCTAAACTCTGTAGTTTATCCTCCTCAAGATAGCCAGCCACATTTACATTGTAATTCACATCACAGCTTTTCACAGGCTCCTTAGTTTTGAGAGGAAAAGCCAAATGCTGTTATTTCAGAGGTCTGTAGTTCCCTGCATGATCTGGTGCACCACTGTCTACCCTGAGTCCATACGAATGTTGTTCGAAATACACTGGTCGTCTTGTTCCTAGAACTTGCCACTCACACATCCACCTTAGGCCTTTGTGCTGGTCTCTCAGACGGCAGTTCTTCTGATATTCCTTGCCCTTCTTACCTTGTTAGATTTTCCAAATAATCTTAGCATTTTCTAATATATAATTTGCTTTTGCGCTTTCTCTCTTTATTTTGCTAACTTTCCCTGGGGAGACATGAGCAGCTATCTATTTACCCCATATAGAACACCAATAGCAGACCAAAGGTATGATTCTAACCACAGTATTTTAGCCTCACGTTTGTTTGGCGTCATGCTTCTGAATTCAACTCTTGAGATGGGCTGCCCTCTAGAACATCATCTATGATGCTTTTTGCCCTTCTTTTCACACTAGATTTTTTTTAAAGGTTTATTTATTTATTAAGCATACAATGTACTGCTGGCAAGGAAGGCACCAGGTCTCATTACAGATGGTTGTGAG